TAGGAAGTTGTCCTATATTTTTCCATCTGGTAGTCTGCCGTTTTTGTAGTTGTGTATCCTTTTGGCTAAATCATACGAATGTAAAGAAAACAGTAGAACAAACTACAAGAGCCCAGCATGTTTTCAGTCAGAAATCAAAAGCTGTCAGTGAGATGTAGAAACAGGATGCCTAAGCTTATGTTCAGTGAGCTATTAAAGACAAGAAAACAGAGCCAATGAACTATATGAATGTATAAATGGAAAATAAAAACCTCAACCCTACTAAGAGTAGATGAATCTGTTACTGTAAAATAGTTACTGGTAAGATGCACTCACTGGCAAACTACAAAAAGTCTGTGTGGATCAGGAGCTATTTCCTATTTCAGACGTACTCTGCGCATTTGATGAAGGCTCTAGGTTTTGCATAGCAGCCTGTTCTAATGTTTATATTTTTGTGCTTTCACAGCTAGAAACAGTACAGTTTAGGACAGCACGTGCATTGGCAGTGACAGGTATTTCTGGAGAAGAAACACAAGTACATTAGCAGGTCCCTTCAAATTCTGCTGATTTTTTTCGTTTCGGAGTGCTGTAGTTCAGTGCTTACATAATGTGATAAAGATGTTTGTGCTACCCTCTACATATAGCCACAGATCTCAAGGTTTAGTGTGGTTTTCTGAGGAACTGTGACTTCAAACCAGTGTGGTTCTGCGTGGCATCATCATCTTCCATAGTTTTCCGGTAATTATATTGCTTTTCAGCTCATGACACTAAACAGAAGGGATAACTCAATAATTCTGTGAAAAAAGTATATTGGGAGGCCTTCTCAATTATGTGCTTGTACTACAACATAAATATTGATAATTTTTAACATTCGATTGAAACAGTTGATTGGTTAGGTTTTCTTTAATTACATTACAGATAAAATATTTATGACTTTTCTTCCAGAAAGATTTTTGCCCTTGTTTCTGAACAAAAAGAGAGAGAAGTGTTTGGCCTGTAGAAATTCTTGGTAACCCTTTTGATGTGCACTATTTTTACAATTAATGTCGCTAACGTACAGTGAGTTTTGAAACTGGCTTAACCTGAAAGGGAGTTCAGAATTAAGTCTAATGTCTGTAGTATGGTCACTTCATACACCACAAAAATTTTGAATTAATCAAATGTAAACCATCGTTGGTGAATATAGAGTTATAGATTGTGTGGATGGTGGTAAGCAAAATAGTCCTCTTAATTTACATTAATTGTGAGGATAAGTAAAATGAGCATTTGAAACAGTCCCTATTCTTCTAAAATGAGGATATAAAAATAACTACTTTGTCTTTGGCCTTCAGAAGTCTTTGAATTATTAGGAATTATTCATGTTTCTGTTTTGTCTGCTTTTTTATGCAGTTAACATGCAGTTTTAATGCAGTTTACATGCAGCTATATATTTACGCTCAGGCTCTGTGTCAGTAAAGCGCTCTATTACTGAGGATAAATGTTACTTAAGCACCTACATGAAATAAATATCCTGCTTGGTCCTTCCAGAAGTACACTGCGTGAAGATTACACGCCCTACAGCCACTGAAATGCTTCTGCTAGATTAGAATCGAAGTCTAGCTTCATTCTGTGTTGTTTCTGCTGCTGTTTGCTTTTCCATTGCGTTTGCTTTATTTATTCTTGTGCCGCTAGTATTATTTGAAGTTACTACGGCAACCTGTCACCATCTGCTATTATAAAGTATGCTGGGATTTAGTTGCTAGGTGTTGAAGTTTGTCATCTTATTCATACGACCCTAATGTTTTTCAGATACTTCTTTTTCTGTACGTGTTGCATCTATAGCTAATATGCACTTTAACAAGAGTGGAAAAGATTCCACATTCTTTCCCCTTGACCTCAGAAAGCCCTATTTGCTTTACAGAATACATCTATGATCCCTTTGGATGTACTTGGTGTATACTTAACCAAAACAACGTTTCTTTTACCTTAGCCAGTGTTTTGCAGTGTTTATACTAAAGCCAGCCAGCATTGTAGTTCATTTGATTTTGTAGTAAATTTGATATTAATTAGGATTTTTTAAAGTGGACAGGGAGTTTGAGTGTTTCCTGAGACATTTTCTCCTCTGTCTCGTTTTCTGCTCCCAATAGAAGTGCAATGTTCATATTATCAATTTCCTTATTTCTTAACCCATTTTTTGAAAGGCTGTCAGCCAACTGGTTAGAATTCAGTGCTGTTTCTGTTCTGGGTTCTTTTTTACATGTAAATGGAAATGAATGTTTTTAAGTTGGAAAATCTATTTTATTAGATCTCTTTATAGTAGTGCAGTGTATTCAGACTTATTTCTGTTAATTTTCCTGTTAATGTTCTCTCATCAGTTAAGTGTTTAGTTTGATACATTTATTTTTCATACATTTGACCTAGTTCTAATCAACCTTTTCTGCTGTAATTCACAGAATAAATCCTAACAAGCCTAAGTACAGCTGAAATGACTTGTTAGGATTCTGTCTGAAGAACTTCACCTTCTCTGCCACAATGTTTTTTATACTAATCATTCCCTAGGTACAATGCTTGACTTAAGGAAATAAATGTTTGTCATAAGTGTTAGACTATTCTGTTTGTGGGCAGTGCTTGATTTTTGGATTTCTTCTGTCTGTCTAGTGAGCATGCAGCCTGCATTCAAAGTGTAATAGATTGTTCTTGTGCAGAACTTGCTGTGTTTTCAAGCAGTTCATACTCTTTGCACATTTAAGCATAGGATAATTTAAGTGATACATAGAGATATTTGCAGGTTTGATCACAGCACTTTATAGTCCTATATTACATTTAAGCTCTACCAGTGAGAATGGTGATGCTGAGAGCGCATGAGTACTTCAAAGATCTGAGGCTGCATTTGAGAAGCAAATCTTTATTGCTGGTGTTTGGGGATTAGGAGGGAGGGGCAAGCTTTTAACCTATAAAGAAGCTAGCAGTTTATTTCTAATAGTTGAGATTGCTGACAAGAAAATTATTAAAGATCAAACTCTGTATTTTGCCGCTTAATAGTTACATGGAAATGATGGAAGTTTTTGTAACAAACCAGCTTTACTGTTGCCTTTTTTTTTATGTGTCATACAGTCCCACTGATGCTAATTTGACAGGTTTGGTGCGAGGTACTGGCCAACAATATGTGATATTTGCTTATGCCTCTTTACAGTAATCAAGGCATATCATCTGTTAATTTAAAAATCACTGTACACAGTTACTAAGAATAGGCATTCATACTGTACCATAACCACAGATATAGCTAGACACATTTTAGAAGTTGATTTCAACAAAAGAAATAACCTCCTTAAAGTCTTTATGTCTTTAAGCAACATAATACATCTATTCAGTGCTTATAAAGAAATGCTGCTTGTTTCAAGAAGTGATTATTTAATAGGAGTATAGAGAGACCTTCTGTGGCAAATGTTTAACTACTAAAAATACAAGCTGTTTTTCATGTACAATTCTCTAACTTCTGTCAGTGATTTTTTTTTTTTCCAAATCAAGACATTAGAAGAAAAACCCCACGCAGTTTCGTTACTGGATCCTTTGCAATTCATTATTACTTTAAGCATTTAACATGACAGAAAATATTTGTCTGATCCATAACTGTAAAAGTGAACTACTACAGCAGGAAAAACGGCATTTCTTTTTAGAAGAGCATCAGTACCCGAGAACACACGATTCCTTACCTGAAAGCTTTTGGTTTACCTGCAGAAAATGTGTCTTCTTAGCCTTAAAAAGTTGTCAAGGCTCTCACTAGCACTACTGTTACTCCAAAAGAAGGCATAATAGGTTCTTTATATTGTAATTTTCACTGTTGATATGCAAGAAGTGTGCTGGGTCTGCTCACGTAGGAATAAATAAATAAATAAATAAAGCAGTATAAACGGAACAGCAGCTCACATGTGAAAGTGAAAGACCTCTAGTGGCCATAGCCTGAAGTTATAGAAGGTTTCCCTTTCCTGAGTGGGAGACAAAATGGTTGGGTATGACAAACTGCAGCTGTACTTGGGTTATGTGTGCTTCTGTTGCCTTTCTGATGTAACACGAGTATAAAGGGAATCAGAGTTAAAGAGAGAATCTGGTCAGTAGGAGGTGGAAATTAAATTCTGGGCTAGGGAGTCCCTTTTATCGATTGAAAATGAGTATGATAAAAAGATCCAAGTAGATCTAGAAAATTATTTTTAATGCTCATCTACTTCATAGTCTCTTATTTTAATAAAATCTAAGCATTTAAAGCAAGTTCACTTTTAAAAGAAGAGTTAAAACTTCAGCAAATTATAAGGCGTCAATAAGGAGGATTCTGCACTGTCTTAAAGGAAAGCTGCAAATCATTAAGCTCACTAATATTGCTTGAGAGATAAATGTCTTTGACTTTCAATAAATTACAATGAAACCCTAGTATTATAAATATTTTTGTATCTGTCAGCATTTCTGCTTTAGAAATTGAGAAAAACAAAATACTTCCTTTTGAGGAAATTGAAAAGTTTTGAGAGATTAAAGTATTCTGTAGAAGTTTTACAGAATTCTATAATATCTACTTTAACGCCTGCAGACTGTAAAAAATCCTTTCTTGCACTATTTATTGCTGTTAGTAGCCTGTGTTTCTAGAATGATTAGAGGATTTTGATGCTGATATATTTTCTTCCTGTGAATTCGTAATGGAAGAATCCTAGGCAACATCACATGCCTTTTAGGAGTCCTAAGGTAATATTGAGTTGTACTTTATTTATAAGGTTTTCTTGTCACCATGTGTGTTTCCATGCAGCGTTTCATAAATGATGCAGCTTTCCCATCAGCGCCTACCCCTTGTCAGGGTAGCTTTTCAATAATCCTTTTCAGTTTCTCTAGCATGTTTCTTTCATCTGGGCTTGCAAAAGCTTGAATATTACTTGATTTTTACATACGTAAAAGGCTTTATTAGGCATTTAGAGTAGTTCAACTTTAGAAAGGATAGAGCCCAATAAGTTAAGTAATCTACGTGTGTTGACTCCTGCCTGGTTCTGGTTTTCTTGCAGAGTCATTTTGTGGCGTGCATGACAGCAATCTTAAACCAGATGAACAACCAGCATTATTCAGTTTACATTGAAACTTTTCAAACAAGTTCAGAACTAGTGGTGAGTACAAAATAATCATGGAAGTGATAAATAATTCTAAGTATCTTTTTTCCTGTGAAAAATCAGTAGTGCTGTTTTGGAGTATCTTGTCTGATTCTTCCTAGAACAAAGTCTGTTTCTGTATGTTTTCTGCCTATGTCATTGTGTTGCCTCCCTGTTCTAATGATGACATTGGATGATACTGTAATCAGAAGTTTGGGAAGGTATAAACGTCACTATTGTTGACCCTAGCACAGAGGTGGTAATATAATAATCAAGAATAAATAATGGGGTCTTTGTGTTATACTGATCTGAGGAGAAAAAAAAAACAAACACGACACAACAAAACCAACCGTCAACTAATTGAATCCTTTCTCTCCACTTTGCACATGGTGATCCATTTCCACTTTTCATTTTCACTATTAAGCCTACTCCTGGTGCAGATAATGTGTGCTAAATTTAGTAAATTCCTTGTTATTACAACGCATTGTATTATGACACTTGTTTCTGACATAATTTAATGATACTTGAGGTATGTTCTAGTTTGCCCCAGAGGTCGCTATATTCTAGAATGTTTTGATAGTCCTATGTCTGCCCTTTTATACTCTTGACATAACTCTGAAATAAGTCTGGGTGTTGGCAAAGGTTTTGATCACACCATCTGCAGTTTGTCCATGGAGGTAATGTTTTCAGTTGGCAAGATTTGTCCATTTTCCTTTCTTTCTTAAAGTCAGAGTAGTGCCATAACCGAAATGCGAACAGATAAATCTTGGGTAGCTTTTGAAATTCTCCATGTGCTTTAGTTTACTTGAAAATGTAACAGTAATTTACATAATTTTACATAAAACTTTATTTTAACATAATTTGAGCTTTCAGGCAGATTGGGTACTTGATCCTAGAAGTTTTAGTAATCCTTACACTACTCCGACAGTTCTGCAGAGAAAAAAAAAATCAGGATATCGATATAGCCAATAGGCATTGGTTTGTTTATTCTCATTTTTTTCCATACCATAAGGATACATCAATGAAGATGACAAAAATTTGTTTTCAAATAATGCTTCTGAGAGCTATTGTTTGCCTGGTTCTCTGTAAGTATGACAAGAAAGAGTACAAACCGCAGAGTTGCTTGTGAGTAATAGATGACATTTCAACTTGCTAGTCTTGCAGGCTTCTAGGTGACTGACTTACAAGTTCAAGGGTGAAAGCACATATATGCGTTACACGTGAAATAGACCTGAAATGTTTATGTTCAGTTTATTTGAGTTCATTATACATTCATCTCTAAATACTTCTAGGAGAAGAAATAGTGTTTGTTTTGCATGAAAACTTTTTGTCAGTGCTTCCAATTTTTAATTTAGAATACTAAATTTGAACTAAATGGATTAAATAAAAAAATCCTATATTTTTCAAATCTACTAATTCTTTATGCATATTGAGACTATCTTGTTAATTAACAAAAAATTCAACAGCTTTACTCCAAAGTGCTGTAACTTTTTCTTTCCATGCATTTATGGCTTATCTTTTCTTAAGAGCCCAATGTAATGACTTTAAGCTGTCATTTGGAATATGAGACTGCTGTTTTATGGGACTTCAGTTCCAATCTTGGGCTTACTGATTTCACCAGGAATTTTTCCATTGACTTCACTGGGAGCAAAGTGGAGCCCTCTGTCTTAGTTCTTTAATCACAGCAGGAACGCTTAAACTTTGGGTTACACAGTCACAGACTTACTGTCTTTTGTTGTTCTAGGACTTCCTGATGGAAACATTCATAATGTTCAAAGATCTCATTGGGAAGAATGTTTACCCTTCAGACTGGATGGCAATGAGCATGGTACAGAACAGGTAAAACGGGGCTGGAGGATCAGTGTTCATCTTCCGTGTGCTTGTGAAAAGTGAACTCGTTTCATACCTTACAAAGAGTTTTGCTGTGCAGTCTAAGATGATTATATCATTGCAGTGTGGTGAATGCCAAGAAGATAATCATCTGAAATAGTTTATTGACAATGCATTAAATAGCTAGCTGCCTGTGCATTAAGCCTACTTAAAATGGAAAGGGGGAAAAAAAAAAAGTACTTAGCAGTGAAGTTGAAATACATAGTTGGTCTCCATGTTGGCAGTCAACAGAAGCCAACTGTAAAAAGTCTGTTAAATCTTAAATGTACAATTTTTGCACAGAGAGTTAGAATGTCCTCACTAATACATCAGAAAGTTCATTGTGATGCAAGAGTTATCAAACACAATTTTATTTCTTAAACAATACGGTTGCTTTGCTTGCTAAAAAGTCTGATGATAAAGACCAGATCTTTGAGCGCAATGCACTATTTGTCTGAGGAGGTTGGATCCACAGTGCTTATTGTGACTCATGTCGTTGAGGAAATGTATTGCTGTGCTGTAGATCATCAAATTTATCTTGCTCCCTATTGTTTGCTCTGTGAGAGATTGCTGTTACTAAGAAATCTTTTAGTATTCTTATATTATAAAATTGAATGAGGGAAATGTCTTGTGGACATAAACTGTACATGTTCTACACCTTGAACCACAGCTACAGCCTGTCTGTTTTGGTGTCACCGTAAATGATGGTGGGATAAACAAAGTATTGTTTTATCTCTGTTAAGCCTCAGGACCACTGTTGTCTTGGTGTTAGGATTGCAAGTAGCATAATTGGAATTTCACATGATACAGATTTTGCTGCCACATGAGCTCTTTTCAATGTATCATTTCCATATCATGATACTGAACTGGAAGGAAAAGCGAAGGGATCTTTGTGCACCTCCACCATTGATAGTGGGGTTAGACAGCTGACTTGGGCCAGTGTATCACAGGTGGATTCCTTCAGATATTGCTTGTTTGAAGAGGAGGGAAATTTTCTTCCCTTGGGGTATGAGTTTTGTTGTTTATTATGGGCATCAATTAGAAATTAACACTTTTGGCAACAAAGGCAGGCCAGTATATAGGGTAGGGTATAGGACGGACTATGCAAGGATTTATTTCCTAAAAATTGTTCCTAGCCAGTCTGAGGTACTGACTTTTTTCTTTTTGTGTCTCTAGTCTGCAACAGAGGAAAGGAAGGGAGAGTTGAACTGAGAATGCAAAGTAAAACACATGGATGTTCTAAACAAAGTTAGTTGGTTCCATTTGCTTATTTGTGGAATTTGTAGATGAGGAAGAGTTTCCTCAAAATTTGAACACATAGAAGTTTTACAAGCATCTGCACATGTAGAAGAAATAGAACAAAGAAAGTAGCTGTGAACACGTGACCACCTTACCTTGTGGATTTTGATTAATTTGCTGGATTTTCTCCTTTTCATACTTAGTGGAAATCGTGGCTAAAAATCTCACTGTCAGGGATCTGGATTTGGGGAAAAAAGTCACTTCATTTACATTTTTTTATTTCTTTGGGTGTTACCTTCAGGGCTGAACTTATTCTTACTGCTTGTCCTCAAAGAAACACTTTGAGTTTATATGCTGAATTGGATTATGAAGTGAATAGGCTTTCTTTTTTTTTGAGCAAGCCTTCTGTTGGTGAGGTGGATTTTCATCACCTGTACTATCATTGTTTTGCTTTTGTAGAAGTGGCAGTAACATCGAGATTTCTAGAAGTCAGAGAGAGACTAGTCTAAGAATTCAGTCTCCAGGATGCATAGCTTCCAATTAACTGAAGGTCCACAGACACTGTTTATTTGAAATGTTGCAGTTACATAATTTTACTCTTCCGGCTTTATAATATTGAAAGGGAGAAAACATAGAATACTTAATAAAGTTTATAATCTCCTGGGAGTATTTGATCCTGAGGAAAGAAGAAAGAAAATTTACTAAGAAAATTTACAACATTGTAATATCCAATTTTGATATTGGATGCATTTTGATGTAGGATTTGAATGGAATAATGTTAAATTAAAAGGTTTTCTTTTATGTGTTCTTTGATTCAAAGTGAAGATTCTGGTTCTGGTGGGTAGTGATGATGACAGTGGGGACTCGGGTGCCTGAGCCTCACTTTCTGTCACTTAGGTACACTAATGCTCATGCAGAGAGATCACTGACCTCTCTTCTGAGGTGGGCAGGGACAGACGTGCCAGGTAGGGTTTGGTAAATGATAGTTTAATCTCACTCGTTTCTCTGCCTGAGCCAGTCTTTGGCCTATAAAGGTAAAATCTAACTCGGTGCACATTATTACGTTGCTGCTGCTGCAATTTACAATTATTTTCAGTGTAGTAAGGATTACTCTTAAAAAGTATCATTGTAATACTAAAGTAACCCAACAGGTTTCTATGGTATGTGAGCATATCAAGACTTTCATACGTGAAACTGCCTCACTCATCTAGAAAATGCTGTTAACATCTGCATTATTCACAATTATAAGGATTTTTTACTTTTTTTTTCTATGGGGGCAAGGGAAGTGTCAATCCTTGTTCAAAGAATATGCCTTTGGGGCATGGGGGTTTGCCTGGTGGCATCTATATTGCCTCAGTTACTGACAATAGAAATTGGTTTGCGGTACTGTACGTTTGTTGATAATGCCTCCTAATGACTTTGAACTTTGTGGGACAGTTTGGTCCAGGCAGGCTTTGTTGCTCTAAACCTTGTCCTGCAGTGGACGATGAAGTGAAAATGTTTAAAGAAAAAAGCCAGCATTAAAAAAAATAAATAAATGTTTAGAAGCTAATTAACAGTACTCTGTAAACACATTGCTTACCTAAATTGATTTGTCACTGTTTATACTCTCTGATTATGTTGCTGTTCCCAAGATTACATAAGGAAATGAGTTATTGATCTTACTTGAATGTCTTGATTTTTATGCTATATCAACAACTAGGAGGGAGGATTTTTGTTATCAGTCTTTATAGAAATTTGGGTTTAGTTTTATTGTTGTTTGAGGTGGCAGGTGTTCTATGAAATAAACTGAAGAATAAGTTAGATTTCTAGACTTGTCTTATTAATGTGTTTTACTCCAAACCAGAGAAATAGCAAAGAAAAAGTCACAAGGGGTGAGCCTGGGTGCTCTTACAATAATAATGAGAGAAAAAACCAAAGAAACAATCCACAAAAAATGTTGGCACAGCTAAGGTTTTGCATTCTTAATTCACCTGTTCAGAGTAGGAGGCTACATGCAGCCATGCCCTGAAGAATGTATTTTACCTTGAGAGTGTCTTCTTTCTGAATTTGCAAAAGTATTCGTTCCAAACTGTAAGGCAGGTCTGTTGTGTAACTGAGCCCTTGGCCGAATGTAGTTGGCACTTAGTCCCTACGGGCATTCAGCAAAGCCTGGCAGTCTCCCCTAGGTGATCTCTTGTGTGTTGTACCTAGCGGGGAAGGTGGGCGTTGGAAAAATTTTGCTGTAGGATATACTGCAGTACAGAAACATAAAATCAGAGTTCATTTACTTCGAGGCAGAGGAAAGAGAAGAGCTTAAGTAGTACTGCAGATTTGGTCCTCTTTCTGGGTGAAAGGTGTTCCTAATGAGCAGGACACTCTGATTACTGTCGTACATAAATAAAGACAGACAGTCCACACATGATATTTCTGCCAGATGTCAGATGTCTGGCATCGGTAAGGGAAAAAGAATGAGCAAATGATTTCTTATAATGTCCTGGGGATTTAAAATTTTTCTTTATTGGGGAGGGGAGGAAAGCGTGCCATCTGGCGAGGGAGATGCCTCTGTCCAAAGGAAAGGACAAGGAACACATTGATGTCCAGGAGAAGCTGTGGTAGGAGAGTTGAAAGAATGGGAGTAGAAGCTTAATTGTCTAAACTTACTTAGTCAAGCTTTGCCTCTATCAGGACGGAATGATTGAAGTCAAATTACTTTAAATCGCCTTTGTAAATAACGTGTTGTTTGCTCTCAAAGTGTGTTCTGATTCCCAAAGCCCATTTAAAGGAGGCAGAGGCTGTGTGTACTAGTCTCACTGGACTGGGAGTATTCTATTAGCAACTGAGAACCAAAAAGTGGCAAAAGTCTCCCTTTTGTTTTCCCCTTCTTCCATTAACAGCAAGATGGGAAGAAAACTTTTTTGTGGCATGGTAGGTGGGATGGAACACTTTGGGAAATAGTGAAATTGTCATTGAGGTCAGGAGTACATAATATCTGAGTTATTTTTGTGATCCTCCATGGTGGATTTAATTAACTCTTGTTCTAATCAAGGTTGCTTACTGCACACTTCTTACTAGTTGCTACTGCTTGTATGTGCACTTTATTCCACTTATGGTACTTAGACTATTGGCTATTAGCTTATTAAAAGCAGTAATTCCTAGGTACATGGCATTTGTGGGGAACTGCTTTGCTGGTTTAGGTAATACTGTGTAGTCTGCTTATCTCTCAGCTGTTCATAATTTTAATTTAGAGGCACATAATTTCTCCCAAGATATTCCTGTACCTTATTGTCAACATGAAGTGCATAGGGAGTCAGATTCGCCGAATAAAAGAACTGCTTGGAGAGGTTAGCAACTAAAGGGAAGTATTCACATCCCTTCGTCCTGTTCCTCTGGGCTTTGAAATTGTAATTGCTCAGATAGAGTTTGAAAGTACTTAATCTTATCATAATTAGTAGCTGGAATCGGTTTTGATTGGTGTCCAATCTAAGTGGCTTAGTAAGCAATTTTATTGTTTGGGTGTCTAGTTGAGTTGTTTTTTGAACCTTGTTAATGTTACATTTAGGTATTTAAAAGGAAACAGTTTTTCACCAGTATGTTTCAAGGTCAGATCCTATTTGCTGAAAAACTGATGTGAGATAACACTGTAGAGTATTTTCTAACACCAGTAGTTAGCATTTTCTAAAATATATTTTAATTTCTTGTATATCTGAGTGTTTTCAGACACAGAATCATAGAATGGTTTGGGTTGGAAG